TGGTGTTTGATTGATGTTGCCATCTCTTTCTACTCTACCTCTGTCAAATCAAAGCTGCCTTCACAGCACTGCTGCTGCAGAGACTCGAGCAGCAAAGCTGCCGATCAGCCGTCCTGAGGCAGAGGGATGCTGGGTGGCGGGCAGGGGTGCCAGGCAGCCTCAGATCAGCGCCTTCCTTTGGTCTTCAAAACATGCCAGCAGCTTTTTTTTTTGCGCCTGTTTGTCCCTGTGCATCAGCAACAGCACCAGGGAGTGAGCACTGAAGTATTTGGGGGGCAGGAGTTTCTCTTCTGTTACGTGTTTCCCTGTCTCACATGAAAGGCGTGTTTCAGCCGCTCCCTAATTGCTACAGAGCTGTGTGGCTTTGAAGTTGGTGCTGGGCATCCGGGCCTCCCGTTTTCCTGCGTGGTGGTGCTGTGGGATAGAGCTGCCAGCGCCCGGCCGGTTTGCATCCATTTGATCCTAACCTCCTTTTTGCCTTGCCTCTTTCGTTTTGTCTGCCCACCCCCGTGCCCTGCAGATTCAGAGGATGACGGAGAGTCGGAGGCAGCAAAACAACTGATTCAGCCCATAGCTGAAAAAATCATAGCCAAGTACAAAGCCAAAGATGAGGAGGCGCCGTTACTCTTCTTCGTGGCGGGTGAGGTAAGTGAGAGCAGAGCGCAGGGCTGTGTCCTGCTGGGTGGGAGGACTGAGCTGGGTTGGGGACTGCTGTTGCCATTGTTCAAGTGGGTAAACTGAGACAGGGAGCTACTGCAGCTACTCAGGGACGACAGAGAAAAAACAGACTTGAGGCCTGGCTCAGTCCCTGCTCTCCTTGCTGGATGTTACTTCTGGCAAAGGAGTCCCAGATGTGTTTGCTCAGAGGCGGAAAAGCCTGACAGCAGGTGAGGGAGGTGCTGAGGACAGGCAGAGTGGGGCTGCAGGATGTGGGAGGGAGTGGAGCCGCCACGGTGGGGCTTCCAGCCTCGTGCTGTGCTACCTGCTGGCCCCTCGAGCCCTGAGGCGGGCAAGGGCAGGAAAGCGCTGGCAGGGGGAGAGGAGCAGGGTTTGGGTTTCAGCTTGGCCCAGCCCATGAAACAGGGGCTGATTCCTGAGCTGGCCACGCTGGGATGGTGTTTGGAGCATGTGCAGGCTGCGGTGTTCCAGAGTCAAGATCTGCAGGAGAGAATGGAAACGGCAAAATAGAGCTTTTGCCTTCCCTTTCCCCCGTGCAGGCACTTTGCCCTGCTGCAGCCTGGCAAACGAGGAGGGTTTTATGTAAGGGTCAGGAAAGCTCCCAGTACTCCCAGGCCTGCAGTTCCCCTCCCACGTTGCTGCTCAGGGCCTGGGCAGGTGGCAGCGGCTGCGCCTGCTCTGTCCCTCCACGCCCACGTCACAGCCGCAGTGTGCCGTGAGCGGGGCCCTCCGGAGCCGCCCTGCGACAGAAGGGTCCCCACTGCCACACCCCGGCCCCCCCGGCCGGGAGAGCCCCCACCACTGCCTCCCACAGCCCCGTCAGCCCCTCCACAGAGGCGCTCCCGCTCCCACCGCCGTGACGGTTCTGTGAGCGTCCCAACCCAGCCCTGCACCCTTGAATAAGTCCCTTGTTGGAAAGGCTATTTTAGGAGGGTCCAGGACCTTCCCCCCCTCCCCCAGAGCCTGCGAAGCGTTTTCCTCCTGCTCGCCGGCTGTAGCTGAAACATTGCTGCTATTCATCCAGCTCCCGACGTCCCTGCGGCGGCCGGGACGAAGAATGGGGAGCGTCCGGCACGTCCCATTCATCCGTCACCTCAATAGCCGGGAGCGCTGGCCCCGGGTCTCCGCTGGCCCCCACGCACAAAGCAGCCCGGCCATGGACGGAGCTGGCGCCTCCCATTCCTCTCCCAGCACCGTCTGGACCGATTTTGCATTGATTAAAAATGTTCCTTGGTCCCTTTGCGGCGATCGGATAAAGGACGAGGCGTCCCAGAGGCTTCCCGACACCTGGGCTGGGAGGCGGGAAGGGTGGGGGGCGAGTGCCGAGGCGACGGGCCCAGCCCTGCTCGCCCTTCCAGCCACGTGGTCCGGCTGCGCCAGAAACCCCTGCAAAGGAAGGGGAGGCGCGACCAGAGTCCCCCTGCGCTGCCGCCACGCGCTGCAGAGCCCCGGCCGCCAACCAGGTGCATGGATTCTCTTACTGCCTCTGGAAAGGGGTGCGGAGGAACGCCCTGTCTCGGATGTGGTGCGTCGTGGGCTTGGCCGGGAGCGGGAGATGAATCGCCCCAGCACCGGCTTTCACGCTGCACAGCCTTGGCAGAGATACTGTTCTCTCTGCCCAGAACTGTGCTGTGCCTGGCTGAGGGGAGAGCAGCCCACTCCCCCTGTAAGCAGCCTGCTGCTCTTGTGCTTGCCCAGACACTGGGACCTGCTGGTGGGGTCATGGTGTTGGCTCACACCCCATTCCTGTTCTTTGCTTTGCTCTGGATGTGCTCCCAGATCCATTCGGTGTCCACTCCCTGTGAGCAATGAGGCCGTGGCTGTGTTGAAACTGGGGGCTCCCAGTTCCCACATTCAGCACTTGTCCCCAGCTCCTTGAGCTGTGGATGCCCCAGAAGCCCCAGGATCAGTCTGGGTGTGCTGGGAGCAGTGCACTGCATGGACAGTGTTGGAGGAGTGCATGTCCCATTCCAGCCTGGGATAAATCAGCCCGGTTTGGTTTTGGCTCAAACCATAGGCAGGGCAGGCAGCAAGACAGGTGCTGCCTGCTACACTTGTGGTCCTGCAGTGCTGGTGCAGAGCTCAATCCCTTGCGGGCTGGACCATGCTGTGGAAGCAGCAAACTGCTCCTGGTGTCCTGGCTTTGTTGATGACTCCCCTCTCTCTCTCCTTTTGGCCTCCAGGACGACATGACCGACTCCCTGCGGGATTACACCAACCTCCCTGAGGCTGCACCCCTGCTCACCATCCTGGACATGTCAGCCCGGGCCAAGTACGTGATGGATGTGGAGGAGATCACGCCCGAAATCGTGGAAGCCTTTGTCAGCGACTTTCTAGCAGACAAGCTAAAACCCGAGCCCATCTAAGGGGGCTTCTGCGCCAACAGACATTATTTAAAACTAGGTCTCTCTTCCGCCGCTTGTGGATTCTCCAGCGTGTCCTCACGCCCGACCCAGTATCCAACCTTCTTGTGGTGCCTTGTTTTACGCAGTGAATCCTTCTCCTAAGCAAACTCCTTGAGATGCACTTTCAGCAGGGAGTTGTTGGCGTTTGGAGACTTCGCTTGTGCTTCATGGTGATATATTCTCTAATAACCAGGCCAGAACTGTTACCGTATCCTTACTTTATACACGGCACTAGCTAGCAGGCAAATTTCCTTGCATGGTGTTCTTCCCAACGTATGCATCAGGCAGTGGATGGGGTTCTTGGGGCTCTTTTCTTTTTCCTCCTCCCCCTTCTTTCCTTTCTTACCACCCCTGCTGACTAAATGACTTCCAGGAAGCAATAAGGAAACTGTCCCCTTTGCCCCTGGCTGGTCCTTCTCTCCCATGCAAGTGCCCTGACGAGGCCAAGACAAAGTCTTAACTGCTGACAACCTCTGAAAGACCACAGCACAGCCAAGCTCTTCCTCCTGGGGGTGAGACCTTTCTGGTTGGGTTTCCCACCTCCCACTCCAAGCACCGACAGCCTTAGGCAGCGCTGGCTGTGCATGTCAGGGTCCATCCGCCCGCAGTGGGTGGGTAATCCCTCTTTCCTTCCCTCTCTGAGCCAGGAGGAGGATCACCACCGGGCTGCCCTCACCTCTTGTATCTCCCTTGTGCTCTCCCTGTCCCCCCTCTCTGGTATGAATTGTCCTCTCCCCTCTGTGTTAGTTGATTGAGCTGTTTTTTGTAGGTGTGTCCCAAACTCAACGTTAATGGTGCTGTTCTTTAAAAAATAACCAAAAAAAAAGAAAAAAAAACCTAAGGAAAAAAATCGCTCCCTAACCCAAGCAGCACACCGAGCCCCCGAAAAGTGACATTGTAAAAACTGTACATGGTGATTGGAACTTTGTAATAAAACTGTTACAATGACCTCGTCCCTGGAGGTGCCAATTGCTGCGTCCAGCTGTCAGGGGAGAGGGAGAGCCTGTGTGTGGGAAGAGGAGCCCCCAGCCAGACCCCAAGGGTAGGTGTCAGTGGCAGCAGCTCCCAGCATTGTGGGGGCTGAACTGGGATCATGTGTTCCCCTCATGGGCTCACACAGCCCCTGCCTGTGCCTGGTTTTTTTGGGGACAGGGTGGGTTGGTGCTCCCCAGGAGGGAGGGAGCCATTTGGCAGCTGGTGGGGTGCTCCCAGCCTGATGTCCCGCCTGAATAGCACGTGTTGTTCAAGCCACTGCTTTTCCCTTTCAGCTCATTAGTCAGCCATGGCAGGATTATGGCCTCCTCTTTTATCCTGCTGCAGCTTCCCACCCTGCCAGGAGCTGGGAACAGCCGCCAGCCTGGCCTGTATTAATTCCCCCGTGTTTTGCAGGTTTCCGAGGTTCTCGTGTTCAGCGGTGATGAACTGCCTGGGGAGCAGTTCAGGGAGCAGTTCAGGGAGCAGCCCACCACCTCCTGGCAGCAGTGCAGGCGGGACTGCTGGAACTCAGGCACCCCCACCATGCCAGCCCCAGCCAGCCAGGCAAGGTTGGAGTGCTCGTTAGAGCACAGGGTTTGGGTGAGCACAGGCAGGACCCATTCAGGTGGCAGCAGTTTGGCCTTTCTGACCCCAAAACCACAAGCAGCAGCCAGGCTGGGAAGGACACACGCTGTCAGTGGGGCCAGGGCAGTGCAGACGCTGCTGTAGCAGCTGTGCCCTGACCCCGCCCCAAGGTATCCGAGGCCTCCCAGGATCTGCTGGCTGAGAAGGGCCGGGCAGCAGGGAGCCAGCTGAGGGGAGGGGAGGGCTCCCACCCGGCCTTTCCTTTCTCACGAGCATCACCCTGCGGCCGCCGTGCCCACCGGGAGCCACACACTCATCCCAGCACTGCTCCAGCACTGCCAGAGCCTTAAACACTCATTTACTGCAAAACAAACAGCCCGAGCTGCTCTTTTATTAACTCTGAGGGAACCAAAGGGAAGAGAGGTGCTCCTTAAGCACCCAACACGCAGCAGTTCAGCCTGCTACAGGGACCTTCTGCCTGTCATCCTCCTTGTGCCTCCTCAGCAGCTGCCTCTTCCCCTCAAACAGCACGATGGCAGCAGCAATAGCAGCATTCAGGCTGTCCACGCCGGGCACCACGGGAATGACCAGTCTCTTCCCCCCCGTGCTGGCCGCGAGGTGCAGCGCGTCCGCGCTCAGGCCGTGGGTCTCCCCGCCGATCACCACGGCCACCGGAGTCCGTGCCCAGTCCTCGTAGTAACACTGCGTGGCCAGCTCTGGGATATCTGCTGCTGCCTCCTCCTCATCCTCGTGGTCAGGAGCAGCCTCGGGTCTGGATTTCACAGGAGCTTTTGTGTTGCCAGGAGCAGAGCCAGCCCTGCCAGCCCCTCTCGGCACGGATGTGGTCTTGGCCGGAGCGCCTGGGTCTTTGTTGTCGGCCACGCACACCTGGGTGCCAGCAGGAAGGTTGCTGGGAACAGATTCCCACTCCAGGTTGGCGACGATGGGCAGTCGGAAGTGAGCCCCCATGCCTGCACGGAGCACCTTTGGCTCCCACGGATCCACACAGCCTGAGAAGGAACGGGGAAAAACAGTGACAGTGCAGGGACTCCCACAAAGACGGGATTCAGGAAATGCTGCTTCCTGCAGCGGATCATGTCTGTGCCAGGCACTCCTTACAAACTTGGGAACATCTTCAAGCACCTCATTCCCTGCCTTACCCCCCAAATTACTCAGACTAAACTCTTCTCTTACCTTTGGTGATCAGCACTTTCTCACAGCCTGCTCCTGCTGCGGATCTCAGAATAGTGCCCAGGTTTCCCGGATCTCGGATATTGTCACAGATGAGGAGCAGTGGCAAGGAGTTGGTGAGCTGAGCGGCAGGGTAAGACATCTTGGCGTGGTCAGGCTTGGAAAAGATGCCTGAGGAGACAAAATGTGACAGGTTTCTGATTGACCCACCCCAAGGACTGGGCTCTGAGTGAGTTGGCCCAATTCTCTCTAAAGATGTGCTGGAGGAAGCGTTAGGACAAGCACCACCTAAAAGAAGTTTGAGAACAGTTTGTCACTTTACAAGGGAAAGTATTTCCCAGCATCATGCTATTAAAAATGAGTGTGTGCTATTAAAAACCTTCAGTGTGCTCTAGGAGCCACATTCAGTTACCACAACAGGCCAGATCAAAGGGAATTCTCCCAAATATAGCACTCTTCACACACCATCAGAAAGTCTAGGGAAATTTTATGGAGAGTCATTATCCTGAGTATGAAATAAGCTTCCCTTTGAGCAGCATTGTGACTGTTCCCAAGGCAACTTACCTAGAAGCCCCTGAGGAGTTACGAGGTCAGACCAGATCTTAATGTCTTCAAATTTCACCTTAATCAAGCTGGCCCGTTTTATCTCCGCCTCAGGCAGCTCCTTCAGGTGCCCCACAGTGCTGAAGAAGAGTGTCTGCGGCACAGCTCCTGCCTCCAGTGCATCCTTGATCAGCCTGTGACCCTCCAGCAGGACCTTCCCGTGATTATCCCGAAACTTCTTCGACTTGGCGATAGTCACCACTTTTCTGTGGGGAAGTTAATCAGAAAGAATGGCTATAACGCTGACAACACCTTCAGTCTGACCTTTGCCAGCCCCCAAGAGCTTCACTGGGAAGTCACAAAGATGATCAGGGGGATGGAGAACCTCTCCTGGGAGGAAAGGCTGAGATTTGGGACTATTCAGCCTGGAGGAGAAGGTTCTGGGGTGACGTTAGAGCACCCAACAGAGCCGGAGAAGGATTTCGACAAGGGATAGAGTGACAGGACAAAAGGAATGGCTTCCCACTGCCAGAGGACAGGGTTAGATGGGATATTGGGAAGCTATTCTTCCCTGAGAGGGTGGGGAGGCCCTGGCCCAGGTTGCCCAGAGAAGCTGTGGCTGCCCCATCCCTGGAAG